AAAAGAAATGTAAGACAAGTTCTAGAATATTGTAGAAAAGCCTAAGATACGAAGAAAAATCAAGAATATACTATATAGGTAAAATCTAGAACATTTCATATAAGTTGTGGCTAGTATGTTGTAGAATAATCTATGGGTCTATAAATACTCATGAACTATATCATTTGATGTATGTAGGTAACATCTACCATTTGAATGAAGCTAACATCTACTACAACTAAAGACAACTACAACACTTCTTCCAACTACTACTTTCACATTTCACTATCTCCATATTTTATCTACATTCAACTATCTCTACATTTTCTCTATCCCATCAATTATTCCTTTCACAACCTCAAAATACTTGGAACGATTTGGTATACTTGCCAAAAAGTTAACATTTGGGTCTATCTGCTACATATCAAAGGAGGCACAAGCTTGAAGACAAGACTATATGAGGAATATTCTTGGGATATAGCACACAGTCAAAAGGCTATCGAGTCTACAACCTACAAACAAAAAAGCTCATCATCAATCGAGATGTTGAAGTTGATGAAAATGCTTTTCGAAATTGGGAAGAAGAAAAAGTTATTAAAAGTAACATTTTACTTCCAGTGCAACAATCTTAAGAAGAAACTCAAGAAAAGGCAAAAAATTCAAGTATGCTTTCTCCACCTCCTCAACAACTAGATTCTTTACCTGATTCTAGTCCAAGAAGAGTAAGATATTTGGTAGACATATACGAAACTTGCAATATGACCATGATTAAGCCTAACTGTTATGAAGAAAGCATCAAAGCAAAAACTATGGTCAAGGCAATGGAGGAAGAAGATCAAACTGAAGATATGTTATCAAGACCAAGATTTGAACTACTACGCACAATGCTTGGAGTTACCGAATTTGCATTAAGGAGGAGTATTAAAGTGTAATGCAAATTCTAGAAGAATGTGGAAGCTCCTTAGATAGAAGAAAAGAAATGTAATACAAGTTCTAGAATATTGTAGAAAAGCCTAAGATAGGAAGAAAAATCAAGAATATTCTACATAGGTAAAAATCTAGAACATTCTACATAAGTTGTGGCTAGTATGTTCTAGAATAATCTATGGGTCTATAAATACCCATGAACTCTACCATTTGATGTATGTAGACAACATCTACCATTTGAATGAAGCTAACATCTACTACATCTACTACAACTACAACACTTCTTCCAACTACAACTTCTACATTCCATTATCTCCACATTTTCTCTACATTCAATTATCTCTACATTTTCTCTATCCCATCAACTATTCCTTTCACAACCTCAAAATATTAATAGGAAGAGAAAATTATTTGAATGGGTGAAGCCAATTCCAATCTTTTCCGGAAGATTTAAAGAGGACAAATATCCCTAAGAGATGAGTTGATAGTCCATTAATTGTGGGATGGATGAAGAATATATGGTATACATACTTAAATCAGTATATGCAAATATACAAGATATTTGCAATGGAGAAAAACTGGTACTCTTTGATGGTCTATGAAGAATTAAAACTCTTCCATTAGTGCTTTATTTAACATGACATATAATGTCAAATAGTTTATCTATCAAGATCAACCTTAGGCGCATAAGAGTTTCATTGAACAATCATGCCCATGTCCTTTGTGGAGAGCAGAATGAAAGAACAAGTCATTTATCTTTTGGTTGTAAAGTAGTTATCAAAGTGTGAAACATGTATAGTATATCAGTTAGAGTTTTGAACGTACATCATAATGGAACTTACGAAACCTTTCAATAATTTCATTTATTGTAACTCAACCATAAAGGGAGTAAAATTTGAAAAGGGGTATGGATGATTGTCATATGGAGTATATGAAAACATAAAAATAATGTAGTGTTCAAGAATCTCATATCTGATGAAGAAGTAATTTTTAGCATGACTGAATTAAGAGTGTGAGTTTGGATGAAGCACAAAAACAATAAAATAAGCTTTTCTTTTTCCATATTAGTGCATGATACCTATCAAGATCTATAACATACCAAGCTTTAAGAATCTTGAACCACAAATGTAAGATAATTTGTTGGTTAGGTAAATACATAAAGAGATTGTAGGGGAAGGGAAATGAACCTAACACCTATAACTAAGCTTTTGGCTTTGTATACCGGTGTGAATAGTGTGTAAGAGGAACTAGAAGGAGGAGCAATGTGATTTCTATATCTAATACAACAAGAGTAACCTTTATCTGGACAACATGATAGGTTAGTAAGATGAGATATCTTGAAGACACAACCAAGTATAAGGGTTGAATGATGAACTAATCACACTTGTTAGAGATATTGTTGGATGGGCCCCTTGAAGGAATTATAGAAATTTCGTATGTCTTTCTAGAAAATGTTATACATTTGCAAATGTGCACTTTAACATATGTTTTGTTTGATATTTCTATTTTGTTTAATTTATTGAATGTGTCATTACGAATTTTAAACAAGTATTAAATAAAGTTTTGTTAACGAAATATGTGAACCTAATTACAATAAACATTATATACTTTTTTTATTAGGTTGAAACACTTCAAGTATATATATATATATATATATATATATATATATATATATATATATATATATATATATATATATATATATATATATATATATATATATATATATATATATATATATATATATATAATATACCTTATCAATAAAGAAATAATAATAAAAGTTCAAATCTTTACCGGTAAAAAAAAAAATTAAATCATCTCAACATCTTGAATTTAAAACTATGAGAGCATATGCTAATTCAAGCCTAAAAAGGAAAATAAAGAATAAGAGTTTTTTTTTCTTGAAAGAACATTGAAGATGTGTGTCATTTTCACACTTCATGTTTCAATAACTAGGAAGTTGTAGGAAGTTGCTCAGGATGTGACTTATTGTTTACATACATGTGGAATTTTTTCCCTTCTGATTTCTCACATTTCAAACCTTGACTTCCAACAACCTTGTTTTGATTCTTCAAGACCTCCAAAACTCTCAACTTGTTTAACCCAACAAAGTCACTCATGGGACATCTCCATTACTTGTTTTACACTTCAACAAAGTCCCCATAAACACAAACAAACAACCCACAAATGAAGCATAAAATGTCAAACAAACTACAAAAGTTATGATCAAAGAAAACTTTAACTAAAAACACTTGCAGCTCAAATTATAATAATCACATAATATAAAATTATTATAATATAACAAAAAGTGAAACAAAAATAAATATACATTTAATTTGAAATAAATTTGTAAAAAATAAGTTAAATTTAAAATACTTTTTTAATATAATATTAGTGCCTTTCATTAGAAAATTTTTGATAAACCTTGTACCTTATACTTATTAATACACTTTTTAACTTTTCAATAAAGATAGAAAAATATAAGTCAATTTGTTTACACAAATTTACAAGAGATATATACATAAATTTATATTTTTACATAACTTAGAACAAGTAATGTGAACATATATAAAAGAAAATAAATATAAGTAATGTATTAAATAGAATAAAAAAATACTTTTTAATACCTTTGGTACTGTTTTTGTATTTCATTGCTAGATTATGACATGCTGTTTTAAACCTTAATTCTACCTTTTGACAATTAATCCATCCACTGATAGATATATCCACATTTTTAAATAGTTTTAAAATTATCTTGTATTTTTGGGCACTTTGATAAGTTAATCTGTCATTTTACAACTTATCAATCCCCTACCAACAACTATGCAAGAAGTTTCAATTTTAATCTATTTTCTTTGTTAATGAGTTAACTTATTTCATCTTACTCTAACCTTCTTCTGTTACGAAGATATATAGAAAAAATAGAGAAATTGAAAAAAGAAGAAGAAAAATATGAGTTATTAGGTTGAATGAAAAATATTAAAAATAAGTGAAAACACTGCAATACAGTTGTTTGATTGGAAAAGAAAAAAATAAATATTTGTATAAAACTATCAACTACCTTTTTTTTACCATTTACTAAATAAATATATCCACAATGTTTCTTAAAATTATTTATCATTTAATTCATTAAAATAATTTATTAGTTATTGCAAAAACTAAATTTCAATCTCAAAATAAAGATTAATTTATTTTTGTTATGCATAAGTAACTAAGTAATTATACTTGTAACATAGTTTATTTGAATCAACCTCAAGACAAAATATGAATGAAAGAAGAAAACAATAGATAAATTTAAGTTCCTCTTACTTACAGGGAACACCCTGAAGACAATACAGTGTTGTATCAGTACCAATAATGTGAGTAATTAGGTGAGTATCCGATAAGATAAGGGTAGTTTAGGGAAAGAAGGATCAACCTGCATACTGTATATTATATTTATTTCCACATATTTATATTAATTTTTGAGTAAGTTACTATATATATTTTTAAATAAATAAATTTTTTAAATTGGAAGAAGAGAGATAAAATCAAAGGTAGAGTAAAATTTACAACTTCTAAACCAAACTTAATTTGCATTGAATGCTTTATTTAATAATACAACTGTGAACTTTGTTACAGAATTTAATTACCATCAATCAGTACCACAAATGTTTTCTGTATTTGTATGTCTTATATTATTCATTCATAGATAAATAGTCAAATTATAAAAGGTCCAATTATAAAATAAGATATAAATAGTCAACATGGATATGATAAATAATTATTCACATGAAAAGTAATAATAAATAAATAGTCAATGTATAAAAAGCCATTTTAGTTTTGTAAGAAATATTTTAAAAATCTGTTTTTTTTTCATAATAACAATTAAAAAATCTTTCTCAAATAGTAAAACTTAATATTTATATTAGAAAATAAAATTGCAGCAGGAGTGAGAAATAAAGTAAAAAGAAGTGTGAGAATGTGGGAAGAAGTGAATTCCATAGTAATAGATATATATGGATTAGAATCCCCTGTTTGTGCTGCCCACTGAAATTCTTTGACATGGCCCCTGGTTTTCAGTTTTACTTTCCAAACCACTTTCTCTTTCTCTCTCTCAATCTCGTTTTCATCTTCTTATTCATTCATTCCCCTCCCTCTACATATCAAACATACAACATTGTTTCATCATTCAAATGTCTGATTCTTCCCACACCCTCTTCTCCTTCATGCTCTTTTTCTCTTAACTTGTTAAACCCTTTTAAAATCTCACCCACTTCTCACTATTTATCCGTTTTTCTCTGTTTTTTTTTCTCATCTTTTCCTTTTTCTGCAATTTTTTCTCACTCTTCTTCCATACCCATTTCACATAATCGTATTTCATCTCCCAATATATCACTAGTTTTGAGATCAGATTCAATTGTGGGCCAAAGTTTTTATTTTTGGAGAGTATATTCTACAGTCTATTCAAATGGGGATTGGGAGGAACTTGTCTGAAAGGAAGGGGAGGGAGTTGCGTGAACTGCGGGAAGAAACGAACACAAACACTACCAAATCGAGAAAGAATAGGAGACATCGTCTGAGGAAGATGTCGCCGGGACAGAGGTTGTTTCAAACTTGTAATCAAGTGTTTGCATCTACTGGTCCTGGAATTGTCCCTTCCCCTCAACACATTGAAATGCTTCTCTCTGTCTTAGGTATGGAGTGTTCTCATTACATATGCAAATTCTGTGTTATTTTTTTTTTGGATTTCATTTTCGGCATTTTTCAAGATGAAAATTTGTGTTGGTGTATTAATTAACATGAAATCTCAATTCTAACCTAAAGAGTTTTTGCTTGATTGCAATTTCTGTCCTATTCAATGTAATTGTTATAATTTAGCATTTTCTTACAGCTGAATCTAAAAAATAAGAACCATTTTTGGTGATTTTTATCTCTATGGAAGGCTAGTGCTAGTCACTTATGCTTAAATTTAATTGAATTTTGCTTTTTATTTTGGTGGGGTGATTGATTATTTGGTTTTCTTGTAGTTTTGGACTATTCTTTGTTCCGACAATTACAAGCCATTTGAGATTTGCTTTTATATCTGATTTCATCAGCCAAGGGAAAAAAAGTTATTCACACAGCACTTAATTTATAAAAAATATTTATCATGTTGTCAATTTTTCATCATTATTTAACAATTCTTCTTTTTTTCAATCTCATTTATTAAAAAAATAAATCCTCAGATATAAAAGAGATTAGTTTAATTATATCACGGGACAATAATATATTTTTTAATATTAGATTCTAATAAAGTTTAATTTATTTTTTTCCTCATTATGAATTACATGTATTGAATCAAAACATTTTATTTGGATATTAAATATTTGTTTTACCTAAGGGATGATGTTTGTAGGAATCAAAAATTAATATTTAATTGGTGTTTATTTATTTATGTTTTTACTTTTATTTCTAACTATTTTTTAATGTTATCCATTTATAGATTTTTATATAGTATGCAAGTAAAATTAATTATGTTTATATTAATTACTATTTTTATATCAATTAAATATATTAGTTTAATTTATTTAATATTTTCTTAACTAATGAATAAGTATATATATCCAATTACATCTATTAAGAATTATTTTTAGATGCAGAGGAAAAAAGTTATTTTCCAAATAAAACCATTAAATATAATTAAAGTAGTTAAAATTTATTTTATAATTACTCTTTACTAATTTTGTTTTCCATATTCAAGTCTGGTAAAACATCAACCTAACATACTTTGGTTTAGTCTTTTTTGGTTTGTGTTCTATATTATTTATGTGTATTGATGCAAGTGTCCATTATCTGGTGCTAGAAGTTAGGTATTTCTCTCTGCCATCTTGTTTCTTGATTTTAGCAAGAAATTAAGATAAATATTTTACTCCATCTCGATTGATGAAAAAAGTAATTAAAAAAATGACAATTTAATAGGAGAAATTGAATTCTTGTTAATAAGGTGATCTCTTGATATTCCAAACACTTTTCTCACTTTTTTCACACAAAAGTTTCATTTTCTATTATTATTCATTACCTAGAAAATAATAATCATTCTTCATGTTATTGAGTTGAAATTTTTGATAAATAAAATTGTCCTATTCTTGGCATTTCCTGAATCTGGGTACATATGCTCACCTTTATTTAAGTATTTAAATTATTTTATAAATTATTTTTTAAAAAGTAATATTTTAAATTTAAAATATATAATAAATATTTGAATTTTTTTAAAATATTTATATATTTTTTTGTTTTTTAGCTTTTAATTTTTTATTATTTGTTTTCTCATATATTTTTCTAGTCTATACTCTTTTAAAATTTAGCTTTATGACCAGTTTTTAAAAGCTAAATTACGAAAGCATAATCAAATCCTCTTTTCAATCTTTTTTTTTTCTTTAACTTTTTTTTAATGTTTCTTTAGAAATGATCTAAGTAGTTCATTTACCTATAGAATAAATCTACCAATATTTAATTCCATTTTTTTTATACATTTTCCTTAATTAACTTTATATACTAAGATGAGCATATTTGAATGTCTTTTTTCAGGTGAAATAAAACAAGAAGATCTCGACTTGAGACCTGATATGCCATATTTCAGTACAAAAACTAGAAGAATTCCAAAAATTACATACCTGCACATTTATAAATGTGAACAATTTTCGGTAATTAAACTATTTATGATTTAGAACTTCTCTTATTTTTTTATAAATTAAAATTAATTTTTGTATAACTAGTAATACAAAAGAAGTTTACACTATATTAATTATTTTAACATTACATTTTGTTACTGACATAATTACATTGTATAATTATTAAACTCTCTAATAATAGTTTTTCTTTTCTTACTAGTGTTTTGTCACAGTACTATTTTTTCGGTATGTTAGTTTATCCATTTATTCTTGTTTTCTTATTATTCAGATGGGAATATTTTGCCTGCCACCTTCTGGAGTTATTCCTCTTCACAATCACCCTGGAATGACTGTTTTCAGCAAACTTCTTTTTGGAACTATGCACATCAAATCTTATGATTGGGCAGACTTCCCTTCTCACACGTATCCCATGGTCAAACAATCAGAAAGTGAGTATTTTATTGTTGAATATATATTTTTTTCAGCAACAAAAAAAAAAAAAATATATATATATATATATATATATATATATATATATATATATTAATTACAAAAGATATGTGTAAATTTGTTCAAGTTGTTTGGTTACTAAATGTACAAGAATAATTTGAATGTTGTGTTTGTGATTGTAGTAGCAACCCAAACTTCGGATATAAGATTGGCGAAAGTTAAGGTTGATGCTGAATTCAATGGTCCTTGTGATCCCTCCATTCTTTATCCTGCTGATGGAGGCAACATGCATTGGTTCACTGCAGTTACAGCTTGTGCAGTTCTAGATGTGCTTGGTCCTCCATACTCTGATCCTGATGGCAGACACTGCACATACTACCAGAATTTCCCCTTCTCCAACTATTCAGGTATCTTTCATATCTTTTCTCAAAACTAAGTAATGATCTTCTCACCTGTAAAATTTTATAGCTATTACATGTTGCATCCGAAAAGTTATTAACAGCAGTCAGATGTTTGATACAAAATTTTATAAAATATAAAATAATTCATTGATCAATAATTTGGATTACTAGTGTAGCCTGTTTTTGAACTGTGTATAAAGGTGGTTTCCACATCTGAATGAAGTTGTTGATGATATTTTACTCTGTAATATTTACACCCTCTATTTTGTTTAATTTCCCTTTGCATAGAATGATTTGAATCTTTTGGAAATTTCAGTTGATGGAATATCTATACCAGAGGAGGAAAGAAAAACATACGAATGGCTTCAAGAGATGGAGAAACCTGAAAATCATCAAGTAGTGGGAAAGATGTACGAAGGCCCAAAGATTGTGGAGAATTAATGCTCACTTGTCACCCAACATTTTCTTGGAGATCATTTGTCTCATTAGGTCTTTTGATGTCACCTTTTTGTCCTCTAGTCAAACTTATTATCTCTATGTTAGTACTACCATTTTAGTATTTTCATTTTCTTCTTTGAGAGCATGAGGCACTTAACTGATGCCATTTTTATTTTTGGTTCATTTCATTATTGTGATGTACATAAAATAACCAGGAAAAGACTCTGAGGTGGTGCTTTTACATTGGGAAATAGTATTATGATGACTATGCACACTGCATAACAATGAACTATAAGATAAAAGTTCAATAATAGAAAAAAATCTAAATAAAATTCTAGAAAATTCTATCCATAGAAATATTATAAAATAAAGTATACAAATATATAGTGAGGGTTTATCATAAATTTCTAGATAAATTTATATAATGTCTAGAATTATAGGAATAATTTAGAAACCTACAGAGAATATGTTATAGTCTTTGAATTAATGTTGTGATGGAAAAATCTTCACTATATTGGTCCAGGAGATGTCACTAATATAAATAGGGTAATTTAATTATTTATAACCAAAAAATTAGAAACATTCAAAATTACAAGTCTTTTCCTTTCTCAAAATCTTTTAACCTCTCTTAATTTTTTAAATACTTTCTTCAAGTCTCTAAAGTTTCCTTTCACACAAAGTGGTATCAAGAACCATAAGATCATCATAGAAATGACAAATACTGGAGTTCCCTTTTAAGTCTCAATGCTCACCAAGAACAACTATGACAATTGGAGCTTAAGGATGATAACTCTACTTGGTGCACATGATGTGTGGAAGGTGGTCAAGAAGGGTCACACCGAGCCAGAGAATGTAGACCATCATTCTCAAGCTCAAAAGGAGCGTTTGAGAGACTAAAGGAAGAGAGATAAGAAAGCTCTCTGTTTAATCTATCAAGGATTAGACGAAAATATTTTTGAGAATATTTTTGGAGTCCAGTCAACCAAGGAAGCATGAGAGAAACTTAAGATCTCTTAAAAGGAGCCAATTAAGTAAAACAAGGTATGTCTTGAAACTTTAAGAGGTGAGTTTGAAGTTTTGCATATGAAGGAAGGTGAACTTGACTTTGATTAATTTTCAAGAGTTTTAGCGATTACTAATCAACTAAAAAGAAATGGTGAGTGTCGGAACAATCAGTACCGATATTGCGCAGCGGAAATATTAAAACACAGAGTATGATACAGATTGTTAAAAGTAAAGAGCTTGTTCGGTCAATTTTAAAAATGGTTCCTTTAATTTTCTCTTAAACGTTTTATCAAACAGTTGATCTGCAGAAAATGTAAAGAGTGTAGGGAGTAAAAAAATCACACAAATGATTTTTATCCTGGTTGGAATCAAAAGATTTTAAAAGATTTTACGTCAAGTCGTTAATCACTATGAATAGTGATTAACCTTTTTCACTAAAAACAGTTTCACAGTTTGTACAGATTACAGAATAGTGAATGTAAATAGAAAAGCAAAACCTTCCTTCGACGAACGAATTGGAAGGAAGCTTTCTTCGACAAACGAACCAGAAGCGAGCAACCAACACTTTCCTTCAACAGACGAATCGGAAGAGTGCAGCAAGTATCTTCCTTCGACTAACGAACCGAAAGAGACAACTCTGCCAACTTGAAGAAAACCGCTCCGACCTTTGACACACAAAGCGCGAGCTTCTCCTATTCACAAGACTTGACAAGAGTGATGAACTAACACTTGAGAACTTCCTCAAATCACACTGTATTCTCAAATGACTTAGATAAACCCTTTAAGGGTTAGACAACTATATATAGCCCACAGGTCTGAAATTAAAAAGACATAATACAACTGCTAGTGATAATCGATTATTGTAAGTAATGATCGATTATTCAAGTCCGTTACAGGGTTTTCAAAAGAGTGATAATCGATTATCATGAGGAATAATCGATTATTTGCGAGACTTGGGCAATTCTCATCTAGACCAGGATAATCGATTATTTCAAGCAATAATCGATTATGTGCGAGAGCAATGGTTTTTCAAAAAGGCTTGTGATAATTGATTATTATATCAAATAATCGATTATATGTGCAGATATCCTAAAGACATGAAATTTCTAAGTGTTTACATGTTCAAAGTTATTCCTAATACATTTTCAGTTTACAAAAGTGCTTTTAAATAAATTATAACTTCATTCTTCGAGTTCTTCTCTTGCATCATCATCAAAATTATTATCTTTTAAAATACCAATGCACCTTATTGGTAACAGTGAGAAGTTAGATGATATAAGAATTATGGAGAAAATTCTTAGATCATTAGATCCAAAGTTCGAACATGTTGTCACCATTACCGAAGAAACCAAAGACTTGGAGGCAATGTCAATAGAGCAACTTCTTAGTTCTTTGTAAGCTTATGAAGAAAAGAAAAAGAAAAAGGAAGAGATCGTGGAGCAAGTCCTCAAGGTATAAGTTGATTCAAGAAAAAAAGAAAAAACACACAACCAATCAAGACAAATTTATAGTCAAGAACAAGGACGAGGGTGTGGATATGGATGTCGATAAGGATTCAGGCCTAACAATAATAACCAAAAAGGAGAAAACTCTATAAGAAGTCGTGGGAAAGGAAATCTGAATTCAAGGTATGACAAGCCACTTATCAAGTGTTACAATTATGATAAATTTGGACATTATGCTTTTGAATGTAGAACCCCTAGAAGAAATAAAGTCAAAGAGAAAGCTAACTATGCTGAAGAAAGGTGTTAAGAAAATGGTACCTTGCTATTGGCTTACAAGGGCCAAGATAGGCGAGGATAATCAGTAGTACCTTAATAGTGAAACAAGTAATCATATGTGTGAAAAAAGAAGCATGTTCGTGGAGCTTGATGAATAGTAAAGGGAAACATAGCTTTTGCAGATGAATCAAAGGTGGTAGTGAAAGGTAAAGGTAATGTCCTCATCCGACTAAAGAATGGAGAACATCAATTTATTTTCAACGTATATTACATGGCAAGTATGAAGAGCAACATCTTGAGCTTAAGACGACTCTTAGAAAAAGGTTATGATATTCAACTTAAGAATAATAATCTTTCTATAAGAGATAATACAAGTAAATTCATTACAAAGGTACCAATGATAAGAAATAGAATGTTTGTGTTTAACATTTAAAGTGATGACCCACAATGTCTCAAGATGTGCCATAAAGATGAATAATGGCTTTGGCATATTCGATTTGGCCATTTTAATTTTAAAGGATTAGAGTTTTTCTCAAAGAAGGCAATGATGAGGGGTTGCCTTGTATTACTCACCCCAATCAAGTTTGTGAAGGATGTCTACTTGGAAAATAATTCTAATTCGGTTTTCCAAGTCAAACTCAAGAGCTCAAAAGCCATTAGAACTCACACACACACACACACACACACACACACACACACACACACACACACACACACACACATATATATATGCGGCCCAATCAAGCCAAGATCACTCCATAAGAATAGTTATTTCCTCCTCTTCATTGATGATTTTTCAAGAAAAATATATGGGTATATTTATTAAAAAAAGTTAGAGGTATTCGAGAACTTCAAGAAATTTAAAGTCCATGTTGAGAAGGAAAGTGGTCTTGTGATCAAAGCTTTAAGATCTGAACGTGGAGGAGAGTTCAATCAAAAGAGTTTCAGAAGTATTGTGAAGACAATGAAATTAAACGACAATTGACATGCCAAGATCCCCTCAAAAAAATAAAGTGGTAGAAAGGAAGAATAGAACAATCCTGGAGATGGCAAGGAGCATGCTTAAAAGCAAGAGACTTCCAAACAAGTTTTGGGTTGAAGTCATTTCATGTGCGGTTTATCTTACCAACTGATCTCCAAAAGAAGTGTGAGTGGAAAAACACCACAAGAAGCATGAAATGGAAGAAAATCAAGTATTTATCATCTTAGAGTCTTTGGAAACATTGCTCATATCCATGTACCAGATGAGAAGCGAAGTAAGCTTGATGACAAAAGTGAAAAATACATCTTCGTTAGTTACAACCCAACTCCAAAGAGTACAAGTTCTACAATCCTGATACAAGGAAAACAATCATCAGTCGAAATGTAGTGTTTGATGAAGAAGGAGAATGAGATTGGTCGACAAATTGTGAGGATTGTAAGTTCTTCTCGTGCGTTGAAGAAGATGACATGGAATAACCACAACAACCAGAAGAGGCACTTGCTACCTCACCTACTTCACCAAATACAACCCTTCAAGAAGATGTAAGCTCAAGTGAAAGAACTCCACATTTTTGAAGTCTACAAGAAATCTATGAGGCAACTGAAAATCTTGACAATGTTAATTATTTTGTCTATTTGTAGATTGTGAGCCCATGAACACCCAAGAAGCAATTGAAAAGAAAAGTTGGAGAATGGATGAAGAGATCAAGGAAATAAAGAAGAATGATACATGGGAGCTAGTTTTGCTTCCTAAAGGGCACAAAACAATTGGTATCAAATGGGTTTACAAAGAAAAAAAGAACTCCAAAGATACAAGACAAAATTGGTGGTGAAAGGCTACAATCAAAGAGTTGGTATCAACTATGATAAGGTATTTGCTTCAGTTGTTCGACTAGAAACTGTTAAACTTATTATATCATTAGTAGCTGAGAACAATTGGAAGATAAATCAAATGTATGTCAAATTTGCCTTCTTAACTAGAGTTCTTGAAGAAGAAGTCTACATTGAGCAATCACAAGGACATGAGTCAAGAGTGAAGAAGACAGTTTTGAAATTAAAGAAGACTTTTTATGAGTTGAAACAAGTCTCTAGAATTTGAAATGTTCGAATTGATAAATTCTTGCAAGAATTGACAAGCCCCGTAACTTTTCAAAATTTGATTTGGAATAACCATTGTATATTGTATATGATGCACTACTTTTACAATCACTACAAGAAATGCGCTTATTTCCGGCGGCTCTTTACCGAGGGCCTATGAGCCTTCGGTAAGTCATTCGTGAGTTCAATTACAGACGGCTGAGAGACCTTCGGTAATTTCTTCGAAAAATTTTAAGATGTTCCCTCTCTGCAATTCATTTTCCCACTTCCCACCGGCCCTAGTGCTCTCTCGTCGCCCAAAACCTTTCCCTCCAACCCTTTGCTC